GTGCAACGACGCTGGCCCCGCATCTGGTGCAGAGACTGGAGGGGCAGCGTCTGCCAGGGCGCCTGCCCCTGGAGCCGACGGAGCCGAAACCGCAGCCGACGCGGCCGACGGAGCCGCCGCCGCGGCGAAGAATGGCGCGCGCAGCCTCGCCCGCCAGCCGCGGCTGCAGCGGGCGCGGCTGCGGCGCTGTTCCAGCGCCCTGGGCTGGGCTGGGGGGCCTGGAGCAGCCCCCCCCTCGGATTCGCGGATTCGAGGTGCCGCGTTGTCGATCGCGGCCGGCAAATTCATCCGTGGCTGTGGAGGCCCGCGGCGCTCGGCAAGAGCGTGCTGCCTCCTCCTTTCCGCCCCGTCCTTGCCTTTGGGCCCATTTTTGCCGCTTCGTGCCTGGAATGCTGGATGGACGTGGAGGTTCCTCCATGATCTAAGGTCAATTTTTTTTGCCGTGGCTTCGAATCGAGCGCGCCCATCCTCGTTCGTCGTCCCCTCCCTTTCTACTCCAGGGTCGCGACGCGGGGCGCGCCCGCCAGGGTGGCCGCTCCGTGTGCGGAGAGTTTGCGCCTGCGCCGGCTGCGCGCGGAGGTGGGCCACACACGTGCCGCCAGGTCTCGTCGCCGCTCCCTCCGGGATGGGATGCCGTGGCTAGCCCGCGCCGCCTTTGTCGGCTTGCCGCCTCCACGCGGCCTGTCCGTGTGGTGAGAGTTTGAACACGGATTTTTGTGAACATCCAGTTGCCATGGGAGTGCGATTCTCTGCCTTGCTGGTCTCACTAGTTTGGATGTGCACGTGCAGCGCTAATTCTTGCTATCTCGTGGCCCTCTTCTTCCCGCTGCCTCCTCCGCCTCCTCCTTCCTCCGGCTCGCTCGATTGGCAGCTTTGCGATAGGTGCAGGCTCAGCTGATTGTCGACCGCCGCGCGCACTTTCATTCAGGACGGGTGCGATTGATTTTCTCCAGGCTCCATTCGCACGTCTTCGTAACTCGAACTGGCGCGTTTGATACTTCCTAGTTCGCCTGAGGCGTGGGGCGTCTTCATGCCTTGTGGAGCATCTGCGCTGCGCCTTGACCCCGTTGCCTCACTCGCCGTGTGTTGTTCTCCGCCGTCGGCACTCAACCATGGGGTTGGCTGCCACGGGAGTGTGGTCGCCAGATCGCCGCCCGAGGCCCCGAGCACCCGCGGGGTTCCAGTGATCTCTGTGGGCCAATCTGTCTGGCAGGTCCGACTCCAACACAGCCCGAAATCCATGTGCGACCCGTGCTGGCCCGCGTCGCATGCGATGCTGACGGCAGTCTTCAGCACGCGCCCGCTGACCTGCTGCAGAAACCCTTGCTTGTCCAGGATCTCCGAGCCCATGTTGAAGTCGCCCAGCACGAGCCACGGCAACTCGAGCGCCATGATAAAAGGGCGCCTAAGATGCCATCCAGCCGAACCGTGGCCACAGAGCGTGATGACGACCACGCTGTACCCCTTGTGGTGCAGCACGCTTGCGTGTAACCCATCGAGGTCGCTGGACCCTGGGGCGCGCAGCGCCCGCGGGGCAGGGCATTCTGCTGCCTAGGTGTGCGCATTTTGCACATGAGGAGGAGGAGCAGCAGGAGCAACAGCAGCAGCAGCAACAGCAGCAGCAGGAGGAGGAGGAGGAGGACGAGGGGAAGGAGGAGGAGGAGGAGGAGGAGGAAGAAGAGGAGGAGGAGGAGGAGGAGGAGGAGGAGGAGGAGGAGGGGGGGAAAAGGGAGCAGTTAGACCATGTCGGTCGGGTGTGTGCGGGGGGGGAGAAGCCGGCCGATGTATCAACTATTTCTTCTCCAATTCTTTTCTCTTGCCCCCCTTCTCTCCTCATCCTTCTTGCTCCTCCTAGCTCGCCCCCTCATCTTGCTCCTCCATGTGCTCCTCCTTCCCTCCTTCCTCGCCCCTTCTCGCTCATTTTCCTCGTTCCGCCGCGTCCTCTTCCTCGCTCCCCCGCTCCTCATCTTCTTCCTCTTGGTTTTCCTCGCCCCTCCTGCGCGCCAATTTCCCAGGCTGGACCAGGATCAACCGCGCCTTCCACATGCCTCTCAGGCAAGGAGCGGGCGGAATGCGCCATGGGGAAACCCTAGGGTGGGAGGGGAGGATGTGGGCAGGGAGGAGTCACAGCGAGATGGTGGAGGGAAGCAGGGGGAGTGTGTTGGGGGAGGGATGACGGGGAAAGGAGCAAGGAGAGCGGATTGTGCAGTTTCTAACAACGATGATGATGTTGATGTTGATGTTGAGTTTGATGTTGTTGATGATGATGATGATGATGATGATGATGATGATGGTGTTGAGGCTGGGCGATGATGGTGCTGCTGCTGATGATGGTGATGATGCTGGTGATGATGGTGGTGGTGATGTTGATGATGATGATGTCGATCATGATGCCGATGCTGCTGCTGCTGATGCTGATGATGACGATGCTGATGATGATGCTGATGATGATGCGGATGATGATGATGCTGATGATGCTGCTGAAGATAATGATAGTTTGGATGCTGTTGCTGATGTTTATGATAGTCATGGCAATGGTAATGGTAATTTAGATGGCAATGGTACTGGTAATTGCTTTGATAATGGTACTGGCGATGATGCTGATGATGCTGATGAGGTTAAAGATGATGGTCTCGATGACGATGTCGATGACGATGACGATGATGATGACGATGATGAGGATGATGATTCTGATGATTATGATGATGACGATGATGCTGATAATGGTGATGCTGATGATGATGGTGACGATGACGATGCCGATGACGATGATGACGATGATGACGCTGATGCGGTTGTTGTTGATGCTTATGATGATGATGTTGATGATGTTGATGATGTTGATGATGATGCTGTTGATGCTGATGATGACGACGACGATGATGATGATGATGGTGATGATGATAATTATGAGACTGCCGCTGATGATGATGACGATGACGCTGATGCGGTTGTTGTTGATGCTTATGATGATGATGTTGATGATGTTGATGATGTTGATGATGATGCTGTTGATGCTGATGATGACGACGACGATGATGATGATGATGGTGATGATGATAATTATGAGACTGCCGCTGATGATGATGACGATGATGATGCTTATGAGGCTGATGAAGATGATGATGATGCTGATGATGATGCTGATACTGATGATGATGACGATGATGATGATGATGCTGATGATGATGCTGATGCTGATGCTGATGCTGATGCTGATGCTGCTGCTGCTCATGATGATGATGATGATGATGATGATGATGATGATGATGCTGATGATGATGATGATGATGACGATGATGCTGCTGCTGCAGCTGCTGCAGCTGATGATGATGCTGATGCTGATGATGATGATGCTGATGATGATGCTGATGATGAGGATGATGATGATGCTGATGATGCTGATTATGCTGCTGCTGATGCTGCTGCTGATGATGATGGTGATGGTGATGATGGTGGTGGTGGTGGTTGTGGTGATGGTGGTGGTGGTGATGGTGCTCGTGTTGGTTCTTGTGCTAGTGCTGGTATTGGTGATAGTGATGGTGCTGGTGCTGGTGTTGATACAGGATGGAGATGAGGGTGAGGGTGAGGGGGATGAGGATGAGGATGAGGACGAGGAGGATGAGTATGAAGATGGAGATGAGGATGAGGATGAGCACGAGGCGGAGGAGGACGAGGCGGAGGAGGATGAGGCGGAGGAGGAGGAGGTGGAGGAGGACGAGGCGGAGGAGGAGGAGGAGGAGGAGGAGGAGGAGGAGGAGGAGAGGAGGAGGAGAGGAGGAGAGGAGGAGGAGGAGGAGGAGGAGGAGGAGGAGGAGGAGGAGGAGGAGGAGGGAGGGAGGAGGAGGAGGAGGAGGAGGAGGAGGAGGAGGAGGAGGAGAGGAGGAGGAGGAGGAGGAGGACGATGACGAAGATTCCCATGGTGATGCCCATCCTCTGGCCTCTGGAGGCCGTCGGCGGGCCGCGTGGCCATCAGAATGTTCCATCCCGGCGGCTGTTCTTTCACTTCGGTCTTCGGGGTCTGTGGTCGGGCCCAGGCGCCATCGGAGAGGGAGTCGGGGCGGAGAGCTCAGGAGGGTCGGGGGCGGAAAAGAGGGGGGTGATGACTAGGGGGGGGTGGATATCATGGCGGCGGCCATGATATCTCCCCAGATTTCATGGCGCCTCTTCTTATTTCATTACGTCCCTGGCCCCCCCGCTGGGCCGCGCACATGCCGCCGGTCATGATTTGCACCCCCCCCTCTTGGACACCCCCCTCTTGGCCGCTCCCGAGAGGGGAAAAAGCACACAGACACAATTGATCGTCGACTCCCCAGGACAATGTGGGAAAATATGGGCAGTGGGGGGGAAGACAGAATCCCAGAACACAAGGGAAAACATGGGGAATGTTTTTACTCGTGTGCATTTATTTGTGTGTCCTGGGGCCCCTTCAATCAGAGAGGGAGTCGGGGCAGAAAGCTGCCCCCAGGGACCACGGCCGCGGCTCGGACCGCCCTGGGACGGAGGAGGAGGAGGAGGAGGAGGAGGATGAGGAGGAGGAGGAGGAGGAGGAGGAGGAGGCAGGAGGAGGAGGAGGGAGGAGGAGGAGGAGGAGGGAGGAGGGAGGAGGAGGGAGGAGGGAGGAGGAGGAGGAGAGGAGGAGGAGGAGGAGGAGGAGGAGGAGGGGGAGGAGGAGGAGGAGGAGGAGGACCCTGGGCCAGCCGCACGACCTCTGCAGCACTGCCTGGGGCCCGAGGCGCAGCACGCCGCCTGCCTCACCTCCTCCCTCCTCCTCCTCCTCCTCTCCGTAGCCATTTTGGCTCAAGGCTCATGCTTTTGCGGGGTGAGCCCGTATTGGCATTCACGGATACCGCTAGTCCGCGGCCGCGCCAGAGCGCTTGCGCTCGACAGCTTTTCGCCTACACCGAGGAGTTGGGCTCCCTCATCAGTTTTGCCGCCACGGCCAGGCTGCCCTCTGGCCGGTGGCTCTCGCCGCCCGTCCTCACAGCTTTGGCGCCACGATGGCCCCGACGCGCAAGGACAACGCTTCGCCATGGTACTGCAAGTGGTGCAGGCACGACGTCACGAATCAACCGTGGTTCAATGCTTCCACCCTTGTCTACTGTAAGAAGTGCGGCCTGCACAAGAGCAACTGTTTCAAGGAGAACAAAGTGGCGTCGCAGCCCAGTGTCTCGGCCAAGCAGCAGTCGCTCGCGGCCAAGGTCAAGGAGCTCGAGGCGCTGCTCACCAAGCTACGCGAGCATCCCCCTGGGCATGGGCCAGCGGCTACGGGATCAACGAGCGCGAGCCCACCATGGGCTGCTGCGCCAGGGGATGCCGACACTGTCGAGCGGAAAAGGATCAAGATGCTGGATCAGCTGCTCCGTGTCACTACTGACCCTGCTGATGCTGATACTGTGGCCACATGGCGCGAAGAGCGGGCGAAGCTGGACGCCGAGCTCTTTCAAGACAGGCCCATCGAGCATCAGGCCAGGTCTTTGGCGTCAAGATTGTCTGCTGCCCGTTCGCGACAGGCTACCATTCAGGCCACCCGCGATGAGCAGCAGAGGAAGATTGACGAGCTCACTCGTGGCCTGGCCGACACGGACTCCAAGCTGCAAGCGGCCACTGCTGTCCTCCGCCTGGAGCAGCAGACCCGCACCGCCATGTCGCGAGTCCAGCCGCCCGAGGGCACGCAGCCACCGTAGCTTGCGGACCTGTTGCCCTCCTTCGCGGTCAGTGTGGAGCAGCTGGGCAAGGTCGCAACAGGCCTCGGCCTCGGCGCCGACATGGTCAAGGAGCTGCAGGCCATGGCCGACACGGTCAGTAAGCTGCAGAACCTGCCCCAGGCCAAGCCGCCTGAACCTGCACCTGCTCCTGCTGGTGATGCTGAAGCTAGTGCTGAGCCACCTGACATTGAGATGTCTGAGGAGGATTGCCGTGCGACTTTGGGTGCAGCTGGCGTCCACGTCGAGGAGAGCGACACCCCCGACACTGTGCGCGAGAGGTTCAAGCGTTTCCAGCAGAGCTACCTGGACACTGTGGCCAAGAAGGCCAAGACGTCCGCGTGAACGTGCTCGGCCTGGTATGCTGTTGCTTTGGCTCTTTGTCACCATGGCTAGCTCTACATCAGCGCAACATGTTGAGGGCTCGCCTTCGTCATCTTCGACGGCGGCGTGTACATTGGGCAGGGAGGAGAGGGATTCAGCCCCTCATAGTCAGACCTCCCTGCCCACATCGGCTTCCAGTACCATGACCTCGGCTGGGACTGCGGCGCCTGCATTATTTCCCCCACTGGCCCGCTCTTCGGGGTGGGGGGCAGCTCCGACCCTGACCGCGGCTCCGCCTACGTCGGTTGCGCCCGCAGCTGGGTCCTCGGCGTCTACGGCATCACAGAGGGCTACTCCGCCTACGCCTACGTGGTTGGCCCCTGGCAGCACGCACTGCTCGCCGACCTCACCTTCGGGGAGCGGCGGCAGAGGGTGCCGACCGTCTTCGGACGGCACGCGCCGCTCACCGCCCTTGCCCTCGGAGAATCCAGGCGGCAGAGGGTGCCGACTGCTAGGGGCGTCCTCGGGCCAGAGCGGCCTTGTGCGTACTACATTGGATGATGATTATGACTTCTTTCAGGACGTCGAGCCTGATATGGGGGAACTTGAAGCAGATAGGTGTGCGGGCGCAGTTCAGGATGCGCCATCTTCGTCCCCACCTTTTTCCCGATGTAGCCTCGAGAAATCAGGTCAAGAACGCGCTGCACCAACATTGCCTTTGCCGCCAGAGCGCACGGAGGTAAAGGTGCAGCCAATGCATGCAGAATCTAAGCGGCAGCTAAAAGGCCTCATCACAACGGTGAACGCTACGAGCTACGGCCCTTTCTTTGACTTTTTGGCCACTTATCGTGGAACTATCTTGCTGGCTCAGGAGTTGAGAATTACCGAACCTAGGCTTGGCGAGTCTCAGGCCAGGGCCTTGGACGCTGGGTGGCATGGACTATGGGCCCCGTCGCCCTTGACTGGTGACTCTGCTACGTCCAACTTCGGAGGGGTCGCGGTACTCGTGCCGACGTACATTATGGTCGCGGCCCCACCTGACGACGGGCACATTATCTATCCTGGACGAGCAGTTTGTGCGCATATTAACTGGGGGGTTGCTGGTGGTATCATCGTCGCCAGTGTTTACCTCGTCACGTCCATTTGTATCTCAGGCGAAAACATAGAGGTGCTGTGGGCCCTGGCCCAGAGAGTGGCAGCATGGAACTCTCGGGGCCTCGACTGGATTCTAGGCGGTGGCTGGAACGCCGATATCGATGCGCTCAATGTTCGCAACTGGGTCGAGACCATGGCAGCCATCCACTATGTGCCCGACCAGCACACCTGCGTCACTGACGAGGGCAAGAGCACCATAGACTATTTTGTCGTCTGTGCCAACTTAGCGTCTCGCATCAAGGGCAAGCCCGAGGTCCAGTATGACTCCACGGTCGTGCCGCCGCCGCACTTCCCTGTGGAGCTGCAGCTCATGGGAGAGGATCGCCCCACGTGGTGCCGCGTCCCTGTGGAGCCGCGCCCTTTTGCGGTGGTGCCGCCCGTCGGCTGCGCCAGGTATCCCTGCCCGTGGCATATGCTCCAGTCGGAGTTCCAGCAGGTCAGCAGTGTCGATGACCTGAGCTCGCTCTGGGACTCCGTGCTGCGAGGGGTGGACTACGAGCTGGCAGGGCGTTGCGACTACGTAGGCGCCAAGGCCATGCAGTGCATCGGGCGCGAGGGGCCGCCGCAGTTCAAGTGGCAGCTCCTGGCATGGCAGCCGCCGCGCAGGCGTACCTACAAAGAGCCGTCCGTGCTGGCGTGGGCTACGGCGAGGCGCTGGGCCCAGCACCTTGTGGCCGAGAAGAAGCGGCTTGTGAGGTGCATCGGGCGCCTCAAGTTGTGCGCCGCCATCTGCGCCATCGCGCCGCTGCAGTGCACCGAGGTTGTCGTGGCCTTCAATGAGGTGGCTGCATTCTACGGGCGCGTGGCTCGGTCAGAGCAGGTGCTGTGTGTCCTGGACACTGCCTTCGCAGGTTTCTTTCGGCGAGGGCTGCTCGGCTTGGTCGAGGCTAACTTTGAGGAGGTAGCCAATGCCATCATCGCCAGAGCTGATTATCATCTGAGCACGGCACAAAGAGCGTCGGAGAAGGCTTGGCGACAGTGGGCCAAGGAAGCCTTCTTGGGGGGGGCATCTCGAGCGCATTCGTCCTCCAAAATTCGTGCACGACAGGAGGTGCTCGCCTACTCCCCTGACGCTCAGCCATGCCAGATGGCGGACCGTACGCTCGACAAGTGGGGGGACGTCTGGACGTACCACGGTTCATGCCCTCTGCAGCTGCCTTCTGATCATGCTCAGTGGCCTCTGCTTCCGCCTTTGTCTGCATCGCAGGTGCGAGGGGCCAACAGAAGCTTTCCACTGAAGACGGCCTCGGGCCAGACGAGGATCGCGCCGCGCACGCTCGATGTGCTGTCCGACCAGGCCTTGCAGTGCCTGGCTGACAGGTTCATGCAGTTTGAGATTTGGCTGGCCTGGCCTACTGATTGGCTCTACAGTGAGCTTGTTCGCTTGCCCAAGCCTGACGGGGACACTAGGTTGATCGTCCTCAGCAACACTTTCGTCAGGTTGTGGGGAAAGCTTCGTCGGCCGCTTTCAGCGGAATGGCAAGAGGCTCACAATTGCGAACATATGTGGGGGTCCAGGGCTGGGCAGACTTCGACCGATTCAGCCTTCGACCACAACCTGAGCCAGGAGATAGGAGAACTCTTAGGCGAACACACCTGCACCATTCTCTTGGACATGACCAAGTGCTTCGATATGGTCAGTCACAGTGCACTTCTCCGAGAAGCCAGAGAGCTCGGGTACCCGCTGAGGCTCCTGTGGTTGCTCCTGGGCTCCTACCGCCAGCCGAGAAGGATCAAGTGTTTTGGGTCCGTCTCCAGGCCCTTGGTGGCCCATCAGGGTATTCTTGCGGGCTGCACGCACGCCACGTATCTTTTATATCTCCTCACGTACCGAGCGGTCCAGCGCGCGGCTAGTATTGCACCTACTATCACGCCACGCACGCTCATGGACGATGTGGGCCTGCAGTACGTGTCGCCCGTCTTGCGGGAGGTGTCCAACCTGGCCCGAGCGGCCAAGGCGTTCACTGCTGATGCTGGTGATCTTGGGATGGTCCTGAAGCCGCCGAAGTCTGGATGTATCCCTGGGTCCCACATGGTTTGGGGGCAGCTCAAGAGGCACTTGGGGACCTTTAAGATCCCGTACAGGGCCCATATGAGGAACTTGGGTCACGAGCTCACAGGACCTCGAGTTCTTCGGCGTATGGAGAAGCGTAGGCTGGTGCAGTTTCGTGAGCGCAAGCATCGTTTTCGCATGTTGAAGTCCGCCGTGGGGCGGAGTGCTACCAGCCTGTGGCGCACGGGCGCCCTTCCATCAGTGGCGCATGGCGGAGCAGTTGCTGGAGTTAGTGACAGCGCCCTTCGTGAGTTGCGACATTGTGCTGCCGTCCTAAATGGTGCTCCAGGTAAGACGTTGGTTGGGGTAACAGCGTACCTTATATCCCATCGGGATGAATGCTACGCCCCCATATATAACGCCACCACGGACATTGTGCTCAAATATGCTTCCTGGATCTGGGATGGGCGTGTGCAACCTAGCAGACTTCGGGAGGCTTGGGTCAGTCTGGGTACTAAGTTTGGGAGTTCACCTTCCTGGACTAAAGCGCGAGGGCCCCTTGCGGCCACTTGGCTTACCTTGAGGCGTATCTCCTGGACTATGTCGTCTGAACACATCCTGGTCGACGATTTGGGAAATAGTTTTGATTTATATCGTATATGTCCAGCAGACCTGCGTGTGTTCCTGCATCGGGCCATCCAGCGCTGGCAGCACCATAGGTTGCAGCAGCATTTTTATACCGAGCAGGCGGAGGTGTGGCATCGTGCGCTACGCCACTCGCTCGCCAAGATAAAGTGTCATCGGCGCCTCGGCGCGCTGCAGGCTCTGTGGGCAGACAATCTTCCCATCCCACCGCGTCGGGACATGAAGCTCGGGAGGCCCATGAGGCCTTGTCAGGCCTGTGGCAAGGCTATCGACTCCTGTTGGGGTCATATCTTTTACGACTGCCCGCCGCTCCTCGACGGGAACCCCGACCACGAATATTATGAGTTTCCAGAACAGCTTCAGGAGGTACGAGACATGCTTCAGGCGTCTGGGCAGCAGCTGGGGTGCACCGACTGGGACCAGAGGTACCTAATCTATGGGGTTCCTGAGGCTGTGGCTGTGCCGCACTACACTACGGTCTCCAATGAAGTTTTTGAGTGGGGAGACGTCTCAGGCTCCTGGGGGCCTACATCGTATACTGATGGGTCTGGGTTCTCGGCCAGTATTCCTGAAGTACGTAGATGTGGTTGGTCGGTCTGCCAGTTGGACCCCGTCACGTGGCTCCCCGCCAGAGCTGTATATGGGCCCTTGCCCTATTATGTGCAGACGGTAGGCCGTGCTGAGCGCTATGCCATCAAGATGAGACTTCAGAAGCATCCTGGGCATGAGGTTTTCATTTCTGATCTGAAATCGCTCGTTGATGAGGGCGCGTCCTGGGATCAGAAGCTCGAATTTGGCAAAGCGAAGCACGCCCGCGTCTGGAGAGACATTTTTTCTGCTGCCAGAGCACGTGATCCACGTCTGCCACCAGTGCGGTTTCAGTGGACTCCAGCGCACAGGAAGCTGGATGATATCATCGAGTGGGCCACGCCAGACGAGCTGGAGGCCTTCGTCGGCAATGCCTGGGCCGACTTCTTCG